ATGTTAAATTTTCTAGAAATCTTTAGAAGCAAGTAAAATATCTTTCAATTAATGATAATTGGCTAAATGAGCGAAATTAATGACAAAAACGTTGATTGTTATGGAATTAGTCCCAAAAATATATGAATAAATTTATTATACGTAATTAATGTATAATATTGTTTAGAATAAGCTTTTATTATTAGTTACCATAAGTACAATAAGATTTTATTTGATTTCCATAAATATTTGATTTTATTTCGATTTTTCATTATTAATTCGAATTTATATTCCAAAAAAATTTCAAAGATCCGATTTCAGAATTTCGGGTCAATTTTCTGATTTTAACCCGACCCATTTTCATTTGTACTTCTCTTTTAATAGTATAGAGATTTTTAACCCGCGGTACATCGCGAGGCTATATTTATGTTTCTAAAGTTAATTTTTTTCTCCTATGAAAATTAGCCTTTGGATATAACATTATGTTTTTAATTATTTTAATATACATGTATGTCTATGTTTCTAGATAAAGACTCATCTATATTTGTTTGATGGGCTGACACATATAAAGCGCGGTGGTGGGCATTCTTCAGTGCAGTTGCTTTCAAGGAGGCTGTCGTGGATTATGCTCTGCGAACTGTACGCAATCTGAAGCAGTACAAGTACGATAAAGATAAAATTGGGTTCAAATGTGTTGGTTGCGATGGTACGGAAGGATCACGGTGTGATTGGCAAGTGTAGGCAGTGATTCTTCGGAGTGATTCGATGTGGAAGATTAGGAAGTTTATAGCTAAGCATAGTTGTATCCCAAATGGTGAATGTGAGATGTTTAAGGTGCCTCATATTGCTAGGTTGTTTGTTGATAAGATTAGGGACAATCCTGAGTTCCACATGCCAACGAAACTTGAAGAAATCATTAAGGAACAATGGAAGATCAGTGTCACTAGGCCATAGTGTCAGTCTGCGAGGAAGAAGACACTACAGTGGATTGAGAAGGAATACGATGATCAGTTTGCTCGGTTAAGAGACTATGCGGCTGAGATACTTGATTTAAACAAGGATTCACATGTAGAGGTTGAATGTCTAACAAGTGAAGACGGTAAAGACATGTTCAACATGTTTACACAACAAAACAACAGAAGGGTATATAGGTCTATTACTATAAGCTCTATTAGAGAGGAAGCTCTATTAGAGAGAAAATATAAAAAGTACCTATTCCTCTAATATCTAAAAAAAAGTATACAGTTTGCAAATTATTTGTGATAAAGGTGTATAGTTCGCATAATTTCTCTAAAATATACAATCCTCAAATGGTATCCATTTAACACCACTAACTTAACGTGATTGATCACTCGAAATCAAATCAAAATTCCAATTGAATACTGTTGGCAATCTTCCATCAATGATATATTTATAGTGGTTTTTTTTATACTTTAAAAATAATCACATGCATGGCCATAGCGATGGCAATGGCGAGAGAGAAGATATTTTTTTTTTTGGTTTTAATGGCGAAAAACGAAATATATTTAGAGAGTTGTCTCTCGCTTGAGTTTATCAACCAAAAACTAACATTAGAACTAAAACTTAATAGAATTGTGAATTTTGAGTTGAGGATTTTGCATTAGTTTTTGTATATTGACGTTCTAAAACTTTGAATCTTTCAATTCTGATTGTGGATATAAAGAAATTATGAGGACCACATTTTTACTATATATTTTTAGGTTGTGCATCTTCAGGTCGTGCATATTAGTATGTACCATGGTTACCTCCAAAGAGGAAACAAAATAATGCAAAATCAAAACATAAATCAAAACTCACTTCCACAATTGTGTTCTCGTTTCGTTTAGAGAGGGTGATTACAGTGAGAGTTTGTTGAGACCATTCACCAAATAGTTTCGCTCCCAAGCCATTCATATCTCTTCATTCAATAAGCAAAGATGTCTTAAAACAATCACATTTATTTTAAAGACAGAATCGAAGAATTGCCAAGGCAGCATCCCCTCCTTATCCTATTAATGTTTTTCTGGTCCTTTCCCTTCAACAAACCAACCATACTATTAGGGCATAAAAGATTAAACTTCACCACTTTCTCCATCGTTTTCTACAAGAAACACATTAAACAATTTGTGTGTGAGGGACAAAGATAATTGAAAAGATTACCACAAAGATTTTTAGGATTTTTTGCGAGATGATCACTGAACCGCAAACAAAGATGCTATGAACAGTAACTCGCGAACATAGAGACAATGAACAGTGAATGTAAACAGAAATGATTAGGTTTTTCGCGGACGAACAATGAACTGTGATGATGAGAGATGATTAAAGATGATGAATGAGAGAGACATGGTGAACAAAGACATGAGAGATGTCAGTTTAATTGATTTGTATCGAGATTTTGAGAGATCCAAGATCAAGGACAACTCGACTGTTTTAATATAAGTCGATGGTTTTAATATAAGTCGATATAGATGAAAATTAAGTCGACTAAAATAAAACATAAATCGACGGTTCAAAAATTATACCTTATTAATAAATCAACCTAAAATAAAATAAGTCTACCAAGAATAAACAAGTAGACGAAATTTTTTATAAAATCAACAATCAAGAAAAATAAGTCAAAATTTTTTAAAAAGCCGACTATGTTAAAAATCAATCAACCTAAATATAAGTCGACAGTTTTAAAACAGTTCGGTAGATAATAAATTTAGTTGACAAATAAAATATAAATCGCCAGTTCAAAACTCGACCTTATTAATTAGTCCATGTAGAATGAAGTAAGTCTACCTTGAATAAACAAGTCGACCGAAAAAATTATAAATTGATGAACAAAAAAAATTAAGTCAATAGTTCAGAAAACCGACTATTTTATAAATCAGCGAGCCAAAACATAAATCGACTGTTTTAAAATACGCCAATGGAAGTCAACATAAATAAGAAAATAAGTCAATAGTTCAAAAAAATCTGAATTTAGTAAAAAAGCAACATATAATGAAATAAATCTACCAAAAAATATCGAAAAAATTACATATTATTAGTTTGGTTATTATAAATTATATAAATTTGAGCTATTTGAAATTACAAATCTAAATAAAATTAATATAAATAAAGAGAAATTTAGCTTAACTCAAAGTTGTAAGAGAAGCTGCTTCTATCCTTAATCAACTTTCTGATTGTTCTATAAATTAACAAATAAACAAAACTTCAAATGTTCTTTTGAGACATGTGAAGATGAGCAAAAAGAGAGTAGGAGATGCTCAACATTTTACCAAATACGATTAGAACAGATTATTCCTCTTGTAAGATAAGAGATGACTATATATCAGTGTCAAGAAAGCGCATCGCTAAGCGGGCGCTGAAACAATGCCTAGCGCCTAGAACGCCTAATCGGGGC